AAGGGAGTTTCTCTTTCCCAGTGTCCTGGCCAACAATCCCCCCGGATAAAATTGGTCACTCACTCCATGGCTGTTTGTCAGACGTTGCTGTGCAAATTGGCAGCTGCTTCACCTACAAAATACACAATCTCTGCACTGTATAGTAAATCCTATGAAACGCTTTGAGATGTCTCCTGATGTGAAAGGATGTGCCAAATGCAAGGATTATTAGTTAACGTAATGCTGATAACTGCTTTTGTTTTGGTTTGCCCATTTGTGTCTGTGTGTTTAAAACTCAGCGATGCCATTTTAATTTAAGAATATAAAAAAGATTAATTGTCCTTGCATTTGATATTGCGCTTGTAACATCAATGTCTCAAAGTATTTTGCAGTAATTATTGTAAAATCTCTCCAGGGACTATTTGTAGGCAAAAGCAATGTACGACAAAGGTCCATGAAGTGAATCCTTGCATTTGATATAGCGCCTTATCACGTTATCGAGTCATCTCAAAGCGCTTCTCGGGTTTACTGTAAAGTGGAGTGTGTACCTTGGGTGTGATGGCAGCAGCCAGTCGCGCATCGCAGTGCCCCACAGACACCCATGGAGTGACTGACCAATTTTATTTAGTGGATTTATTGGCGAGGCCAGGGAGAAACTCGCTTCTCTTTTCGAATAGTGCCATGGGATCTTTAAAGTCCATCTGAACAGGCAGACAGGACCTCAGCTTAACTGAAGGTCGGCACCACCAACAATCAGTGCGCCCTCTAGCACTGAATTTGAGCTTCAAGCCTGAAACCTTCAGCTCAAAGAAAATACTGTAAAGTGAATTGACTGTTTATTTTATGGGTGAAATGCGGCAGCCAATTGTGCACAGCAGTGTCCCACAGACAGTTGTGGATTTGGTGATCATATTATTATTTATTTATGTTTGAAGAGATTATTACCCCCAGAAAATTGACTAACATCCGGGTTCCTACTTACTGCTGGGTAAACAAAGACATGTTGAGTAAAGAAACTTGCCCAATGTTTCTCACGGTCCGGGAATCGAACCCAGGTCCTCTTGCTTGCGAGGCAAGTGCTCTAACCACTGAGCTACAGGAGTGTGTGTTTTGTGGGTGAACACGCCCCCATGGGGTTTGAACCCACACACCTGACCCCCAGAGGCAAAAGTGCTGTGGACTGAACAAGCCATTTTTTAAAAAGAAACGCACTTGCACTTCGGCACTTAAATGGTTAAACCGCACCATTGCACGCACCTTAGTTGGGCTTCAGGGCTGGTGCGTACAATGTGATGTAAAAACTGGCCGGTCTAGTTTGTCTGCATTCAGTTTGAATGAAATCCCTCTTTTGTGAAACTCTGACCTGTTGATCCGCCGAGCAAAGCCTGGTCCGTGGTTCCAACCACCGGTGACTTGGACAGGCATCCTGGTCAGCCAGAATAGGGTTAACACTGTGCTTATCTTACATCGGGCGTCCCCCTCTTCCTTTTCCCTCCTATCCCAAACGGCATGTTTTATTCCCCTCCCCATCATTGTATGCACCCTCCCATCCCCTTTTCGTTTGAACGGGCCTATGGCTATCGCTCACTCTCCTCCCACCCCCCATGAAGGACGCTATACAACAACAAGCTGTTGTTGTTTCTCTCTGTGGGAAAACGTGCTACAATAGGACATCTAGGACTTCGAGGTACGCAGGAATGTTCTGTACAGAAGAAGGCTGTATCCTAGCTCTCGGTTTGCGTGGGGCTCGCTGATCCGTTAGGGTAGGAATTGGAGAGCTCCAACCATTTTTGTTTTGGTCAGCCAGATGGCTGATGTGAGTGAAAACCTAAAACTGTGCTTAAGAGTATCCAAACCAAACCGAGAATTCCATGCATCCCACCTAAACGTGGAGTTTCCTGAGATATTTATTGGAATGCAATGCACACTCGCCCAGGTGTCCTGCGTACCTAATTCCGGAAAGTATTAGGCACAGGTTGGCAAGAGCCGAGGCTTGGGGATCCCAGAGTTTGCGTTGGGGTAACTGCTAGAGTCTAACCATTGACATTGCTGTCCGGCAAACTTTCCCACTGCTTGTCCAGCTCGGACCACCCTACCCGTTAGGACTTGGCTTGCAGAGTTAACAGGAGCTGAGAGGGATGACGCCCAGTCAATGACTGGTCTGCCCTTCCATGTCTTGCTGTTGAACCAGGCTGGCTGGGGTGTCATCAGTATTGCCTTGCAATACTGCGGACCTGCCTGGCAGAGGATTAGCTCCATTCCGATATTCCGTTGCCAAGCATGTCACCTTGGAGACAGTTCAGCTGGCTCCGAGAAAGCTTCCAAAACCACTTTAAAGGCCTCTGCTTTTGCCTCTTAGTGCTCCTTCCCTTTTCGGTTACCATGACAGGTCCCATTTCAGGGTTGAATGTCTTGCAGGCTGTGGCTTCAACTTCCTTGCGAGCTCAGCTGCAGAAGCAAGAAAGTCCTCAGCCACGTTGTCGATCGTTGGGTCCGTGCTGTTAGCCCTCACACAGTCAGTCCCAGGCTTCACAGTCAGCAAGTGTGGTGGAGGACCTTGGTATGTTCATTTATAGCTCCCTCCTGGCTCAGTGTTGTGCTCTGCCACTGTCACGTGCTCTGGGCACTATCCTGCATGAAGGGCGCTCTATAAATGCCAGTTGTTGCAGCACGAGGCATACCGACATCTCCAACCTGACAGTCATCCTGCGTCACAGGCTCAGCATCCACGGGAGGAGGTCCAAGGGCTGTTCTTTTGACACAGAAGTTGACCGGCTAGTGGTCAGAGGTTTCCCAGTGATGCCGAGCAATGTAATTGGAGACCATAAGACCACTCACCACTATGTTGTCAATTGGTGTTCTGTGCTGCCCTCCGCCCCAATGCCATGCAATTGGCAAATCTCAGAACGGAAGCAGACAGCATAGAAACCATGTTGAAGGGTCTTGATCCTCCTTTGTTCTGGTTTTGACATGTTCCAATCTCCCATAACAAGCAACCCAGTAAGTGAATGAGTGATTTTATCTGGAGGATAATTTTTGGCCGCCAAACTCCCCTCTCTTTTCTAATAGTGTTGGGGAACTGTAACATCTACCTGAACAGGCGCACGTGGGAACTTTAGTTTATGTCCCATCCCCTCTGGCAATGCGGTGCTCCCCCCAGCACTGCACTGGTCCATCAGCCTAGATCATGAGTTCCAAGTTCCCCAATGTAGGGCTCAAGTGCACAACCTTCGAAGGTTGGGGGTTGGGCGGTGGGATTGCAGAGCGGAGTGAAGTGTCTGCCTTTACACATCCGTGGAATTCGCAGCTTACATTTTAGACGTTTCTTTAGTTAAGACCCCCACATGACATTTGGAAAGATTTCCAGGGCTGGGACCCGTCGCCTTGGTAAATGAGAACATCAGAGTGCTCATTATCTCGATAACACAATTCACTTCACGGCTGTTTGTGGCACGTGACTGTGTGCAAAATTGTCTGCCCTGTTCGCCTCCAAATACACAGTTACAGAGACTCGATGGTAAACGCTTTGAGACGTTTTAGGGCCGGTAGACGCTGCGTCAAAATGCAGGGCTTATTTGAATGTGAATTGTGGGGCTGCAGTGTTAATAAGTCACGATCCAGCCTTAAAGACACCAACGGCTTTCAAATTGTCTTCTCTACACGTGAAAGCAGGCCTCAGACTGGGGCTGCGGTGGAAATGGGAGATTCGGGCCTGAGCGTGGCAGACAAAGGCTCGCTTGTGTAGCCAGGGACAGGGTGCAGTCTGATACTCTCTGAGACGGGCAGGAGTGAGGTTTAACATTAGCCCGTAGGAGTAGGTGGAGCAGTGCTCTCCTCGGTTTACTCCAATCTGACAGCTACAGAGAGGGCCCCCGTGGGTGATTTATTCTGGCCTGCAAGTGGCGGGTCAAACAGATAGGTTAGCCTGGAGACGGACTTAACCCTTTCCAGGCCCAAACCCTGTCACAGTAAGGGTTGTTTGTTGGATTTCCTTTTTTTTGACAATAAGTAACCAGAATCCTTGCATTTGATCCAGCCCCTTTCACGTTGGCAGGATGCGTCGAAGCGCTTCACGGGAGTCGATGTGAAGTGACTGTGTGTTTTGCCGGCGAACGCAGCAGGCAATTTGGGCACAGCGTCCCACAAACAGCCATAATAATAATAATGATTGCATTTCTTACAGTGCCTTATCACGTCTTTAAGACGTCTCAAAGTGCTTCACCGAATAGACTGTAAAGTGAATTGATTGTACATTGTATGGGTGAAAAGCCGCAGCCAATTGCGCACAGCAGTGCCTCACAAACAGTAGTGGATTGAGGTGACCAAATTATTTTTATTTAGCTTGAATTATTACCCCCAGAAAAGCGATCCGCCAATCGACTAACAACAGGGTTCCTCACTTGCTGCTAGGTAAACAGAGGCATGTGGAGTAAGAAAACTTGCCCTATGTTTCACCCTGCCATGTCCTCTCGCTTGTGAGGCGAGTGCTCTAACTGCTAAGCTACAGGACTCCACGCCATGAAGTGAAGACCAATTTTTCTCCAAGGCGTCAGATAGGAACTCCCTTCCTTTTTCCAATAGATCTGCGAGATTTTTCGACGTCCGCCAGAACAATCACAGACTGGGATTCAATGCTCCCCCCGGCATTGCACTGGAGTGTAAGTCTCGACTGTGAGCTCAAAGTGGAGCTTGAACTCACAACTTTCTGAAATGGAGGAGAGAGTGCTCTAATTGAGCCAGGCTTAGTTTTTCTCTCTCTCTCTCTCTCTCTATCTCTCCTCAATGTGTTTCACTCCACCTTTCTTCTGCTGGAGGATGGTTCCTTGGATCATTTGTGTTGAGTGCGAGTATTGGGAAGGTGTTTGAATGTGCATGGCGGAGGGGGGCAGCACAGGTGGGTTGGGGGCAGGTCCACAGACCTGTCGGCAGGACTTCCGAGGAAGCCATCACGAGCAGGAGCCCTGGTGGTACGTAAGCACCAATCAACACAGCTAACCCTTTCACATTCTCTGCTCTCACAGAGTCGGAAAGACAGGGAGAGGCCAAAGCAGAGACTGAAAAAGCCAACTGAGTCACTGAGCGTTGTCGTGAACACTGTTCCCGCGGCGACAGAGAAGGTAAGTGGCATCCGAGCCAATAAAACCCAACAACGACTGGGAAAAAGCTGTGTTTGTGTATTGTGTTGCTTGCTGGTCTGCCAGCTGCGACTCTCTGTTTACCTAGCAGTACGTAGGAACCCGGTTGTTAGTCAATTGGCAGATTGCTTTTCCGGGGGATAATAACCTCTCCAAAATAAGTTAACAAAATAATAATAATTTGGTCACTCAATCCGCAACTGTTTGCGGGACGCCTCTGTGTGCAGTTGGCTGCCGCGATTCGTCCACAACGTACACACAAAATTCGCTTTGCAATATATTCCCTACCCCAGGGAAGCTGAAGCCGATGGATCAGAAGGTTGTGCAGTTGAGGGACTTTGAACTTATCATCTAGGCTGATGGTCCAATGCAGTGCTGCCTCCAAAACTCCCGCTGCTCCTACTTCTATGAAGAAGCCTCTGCTTTCTGGGTGTAACGCGGCAGCTGATTGCGCTGAGACAACAGGCTGAGCACCTGAGCAGTAAAATCATGTGAAGCGAGAGAGCGAGGTGGAGGGGGTGTGTGTGTGGGGGGGTGAGGGTGGGAATTAAAAAAAAACCCAAGCAGCACAGACACAATATGACGAACTGCCTGCCGTTCAGAGAACTTCAGAACCTCTGTTTGCTCAATAAAAAAAACAACGCAAAGTTTAACTGTGGGGCCTGGTTTACAGTGGACTGTCCACTTAGTTTCACGCAGAGCATCTGTTTGCCGAGGTGGGCTTTAATGTGGGCTGCAAGTCGGATGTTGCCCCATTTGCGAGGTTTTATTAAATTCCTGGAATGTACGAGGTGCCTCTGGGCTGGGCTGCACATCTGCTCTGGCCCCAATACACTCCAGCTGCTTTTGCCAGAAAGTTATCTTGAACTAACAGGAAGTTTCTGCACTACGCCCGCCGAAAAAAACCAAAAACTATCGGACCTGCACAAGTGTTTGCAGTAGTTACAGGTCTTCGAGCTTTGTTGAGTTTGGCTCAGTTTTATCAAGTTTGGTTAAAACCGTGTTTTCTCTCTCTCTCACTCTCTGTCTCTCTCTCTCTCGTTCTGTTTTTTTTTCACCCAATAAAACGATCGCAGGGAGCCTGCACCCCACACGTGAGCGGGAAGGAGCCTGCTGCCGAGGTTAACAGGTCAGAGAGCAAAGTCAAGAAGGCCTCAGGTCATGGGTCCAGCCAGCGGGGACGGAAGCCAGGCGGAGGGAAGAGCTCTTCCAGCGTTCCTGCTGCATCGTCCACCAGCACGTTTCAGCAAGGTACTCGCTCCCCCCACACCCCCACCGGCAGCGCCACGCCACGGGTCCCACCCAACAGTGAGCGGCCATCAGCGGACTGCGCATTCCATTCCATCAATCTATCTCTGGAAGCGGTTAGAGCGCTCGCCTTGCAAGCGAGAGGATCCGGGTTCGATTCCCGGGCAGGGTGAAACTTTAGGCGAGGTTCCTTGCTCCACACGTCTCTGTATAACCAGCAGTAAGTAGGAAACCTGGTTGTTAGTCGATTGGCGGATCACTTTTCCCGGGCTACCAATTCCTTCAAAATAAAATAATAATAATCATTTGGTCACTCAATCCATGACTGTTTGTGGGACACTACTGTGCGCAATTGGTTGCCGCGTTTCGTCCACAAAATGTACAATTCGCTTTACAATATATTCCCTACCCCGGGTATATATTCTGTGAAGCGCTTTGAGACACCTTGAAGACTTGATGATGATAATAATAATAATATAATAATAAATGCAAAGGTAGGGGGGGTTGTGTGTGTATATAGGATTTCCCCTGTGATTTAAAGCTGAGCCTGAGGTTGACTGGCGACCAGTCACTGTGAATGATGAGTTGTTAAAGTGGAGTATTGGCCATTAGCAAATGTTCCAAGGTGAGAATGGGCCATTAATAAGCTCCTGGAAACCACCGTGCAGTGAGTGCTGAGCAAATACTAGGCAGGTTACCAGCATGTGACCCTGGATAGAAACCAACTCTCCCAACCCCGAACAGCGTGGCCAACCGCTGCATTATCGGAAATGCCGTCCTTTGGGTGAGACGTTAAAGCTCCCGTCTGCACCTGTTCAGGTGGACGTTAAAGATCTTGCAGCGCTATTCGTAAGAGAAGGGAGTTTCTCTCCCGGTGGCCCTGGGCCACAATTTCCCCCAGATAAAGTGCAGTGAATGTGTATTTTGTGGGTCAAATGCAGCAGCAAGTTGCACACAGTAGTATCCCACAGACAGGGAGTGAGTGACCAATTTTTATTTTGGAGGGATTGTTGGCCAGGACACAGGGAGAGAGAAACTCCTTTCTCTCTTCAAATAGTGCCGTGGGATCTTTAAAGTCCACCTGAGCAAGAGGATGGCATATTGCTTCAACACATCTCATCCAAAGGACAGCAAGTCTGATCAAATGCAAGGTTATATTGTTATTGCTATAACCTGGTGCTAATACTGCGAATGTCTCACTGAACTGGATTAGTTACAGTGGGAACGAGTAGCGAGTGGTAAATTACCCAGTCAGGAGCTTGTTTAATTAAAATTATTAAAAATTATGAGGGGTTTTGATAGGGAGTAGGTAGGGAGACTGTTTCTACTGCCAGGTGGGTTGATAACCAGGGTAGCCAGGGGTCTTAACACGTGCGGAATACCATCACCGTGCGTAAGAGTACCCAAACCAAGCTGAGGTTTCCATGGATCCCACCTACACATGGAAATCCCAAAGATAGGTTGTTGGAACGGAATGCGCGCTCTCTCCCTCGAGGGAACGCAGACTGCTTACCTAATAGAACTGAGTGTTCCCGGTGACTTTTGTTTTTGTTTCAGTATTAGGCACAGGTTGGCAAGAGCCAAGGCTTGGGGACCCCAGAGAGTTGGGGTAACTGCTGGAGTCTCACCAGCTAAAACCGCATAGCTTGCCATTGGTATCGCAAGCTTTCCTGCTGCGTGTCCAGCTAGAACCACTCTACCTGTTAGGGGTTTATCTTGGAGGGTAAAACAAGTGGGAGGACTCCCTGCCCTTCCAGGTCCTGCCAATGAGCCAGGTTGGCTGGGCTGACATCAGTAGTGCCCTGGAATACAGTGGACCCACCTGGCTCAGGCACCAGACTACTGAGACCGCCACAGAGGGCTGGCTTGATTTCGGCCAGACGTGTCATCTTGGAGCCAGTTCAGCTCACCCTATTATCCCCACCTCCCCTCCCCCCACCCCGAAGGAGAAGAGATTTAAGATAATTCGCAAAAGAACCAGTGGGGAGAGGAGGAGAATTTTTTTTTACTCAGCGAGTCGTTGCGATCTGGAATGCACTGCCTGAAAGGATGGTGGAAGCAGATTTGATGATAGCTTTCAAAATGGAATTGCATGGGTACTTGAAAAGAAAAAATTTGTATGGCTAAGGGGGCCGGGGGTGGGCGTGGGGGGGGGGGGGGGGGGCAGAGGGACTGATTGAATAGCTCTTTCAAAGAGTTGATACAGGCACAATGGGCCGAATGGCCTCCCTCTGCTGTAAGATTCTATGACTCTGTGTGCCTCCCTTGCAGGTAGCCTCCTGAACACGCCCAGTGCCCCCACTTGTCAGGAGTTGGTGCGGATTCCTAAACCAGACGTTCGAGGGGAGACTTACCTGCAGTCTCTGTGCCTGTCTCAGAGCTCGCCACCCTATGAGACGATAAAAGGAGGAGATCTCTTCAGCACCGACAGCAACCTCTCGGGATTTAACCCTTTGATGCGCTATTCGTCCGGCACCGGGGGTCCGGCGAAGGCCTTGGAGAGCACGCGGGGGGAGCTTAGGACGTGCAGTGGCGGAATGGGTGGCCCGTCCGCCGGGGGGGGCGGCTACAAGAGGCCGCAGACAGTGGGAGCCGAGGGCGAGGAGACGGTGAAGGAGAAGAAGCACAAAGCCAACAAGAAGAGCAAGGCCGGCCGGGGACGGCCCAAAGGGAGCAAGAACAGCGAGCCCCCGCCTGCCCTGGCCCCACCCTTGCTGGCCATGCCTGAGGTGGTTACTGCCATCGGCAACCCTACCCTCCCCAAACTGACCCCCTCGACCTGTGCCATGCCGGGCATGAACATCGAGTCGTCGCTCCTGAGCACAGGTACGCAAACCCCTTAGTTTGCCCCCTTCGTGCCCCGTGTGGTGTCAAGCCGTGGAATGGTTGGTTTCTTTTGTACTCCCTTCCTCCCAAATCAAGACGCAACTTCTTTACCGCACTTTTGATCATCTCTCTCCCCCACCCCCCCCCCCACCCCCCGAAAAGTGCGGTCAATGGTGCCAGGGTGAAGGGACTCATTAGCTCTATAGCCCGAATGAGGAAAGAAACAGCTTGGGGAGCAGGGAGTTGAGAAAGCTGGATAGCTCTAGGCTATGAAATGTTATTTCTGGAGGGGTTCATGTGAAAATTATTAGTGCAAGTTTTTCCAAGGAAAGTGGACAGTGGTGAGTCAGGGTCAGGATAGGGAGACAGGTAAGCAGGTTCCTCTCTCTGACTCACTCTCTCTCTCTCTCTCTCTAGCCAAAGATTTACACAGACTGCACGGTACAGAAACAGGCCACTCGGTCCAACTAGTCCATGCCGGTGTTTATACTCCACACGAGCCTCCACCTGTTCTTCACTCTCCCTCCCACACCCTTCTATTCCCTTCTCCCTCATGTGAAGGACTAGCTTCCCCTTGACTGCATCTACACTGTCTGATTTGACCATCGCTTCAGGCACAATCTCACTCTCCTCTGTGTGAAGTAGTTCCTCCTGAATTCTCTTCTAGATTCTCCTAGTCACAATCTTATACTCGTGTCCCCTAACTGGTGGAAACAGCCTATTTAAGCTAACCTTATCGAGCCCTTTTATAATTTTAAACACATATATTAGTCCCGTTTCTTCTCAAGCGAAAAAAGACCTAACGTATCCAGATTATTCTAACAACAGCAACCTGCCAGCGCTGGTATCATCCTCTTAAACCTACGCTATAGCTCTTCAATATTAGTCTATGTCTGTCTCTTAATTCTCTGACCTCTCCCTCTCTTTCTTTCACTCTGTTCTGTCTCTCTGATCACCATCCCTCTCTCTTCATTCTCCGACTCCCTCTTTATTCTCTGACTCTTTCTGTTCTCTCTTTTTATTCTCGTCGATCTCTCTCTCTATTCTCTTGTCATCTCGATCACTCTCTCTGTAACTATTTTCTCTCTCTCTCCCCCCCCCCCCCCACCACCACCACCGCCACACTCTCTTGCCTAGCACTGTGACCCCCTCCCATCCCGTGAACAAGGAGTGACTAACGTGTGCTATTGCTTGTTATTTCTTCTCTCTTTTCTGTGACAGATGTGTTTGCTAGCAGCGAGCCCCCTCTCTCTCTGGGGGCTGGGATGTTGGGGGCCGTTTGTAGCACGCCGCACTCCTCTAGCATGCTCAGTCATCAGCGTGGAGGCCACCTCATGCACTTCACCAGACCCTCACTGCCGGGCACCATCACTGCAACCACCTCCATCAGCAGCTCCCAGGTAAGAGGAGAACATTCTCTCCAGCTCCGAAACTCTTAGCCTGGCTCAGCCAGTAACGTTCTCACCTCCCGAGTCCTACTCACTCTCACCTCTGCCCTCTGACACACTGGAACTCCACCCCCGAATCCCACCATCTTGCCCCCTCGCCTCCTTCAAGGCCCGTCTCAAGAACGTACTCTTTGACCATGCCTTTGGCCACATTCCTCCACCCCCCTACCTCATTTCCCCCCACCCCACGCCACCATCTACCCCTCTTGATTTCAACCCCCAACTTGGGTGCAAACCCTTAATTGTCCAGTGCCGTGGGACATCCTTCCGACGTGAAAGGTGCTATATAAATGTAAAAACAAAAACAGAAGTCGCTGGGAACCTCAGCAGGTCAGGCAGGATCCATGGAGAAAGGAAAGTGAGTCAACATTTCGGATCCACGACCCTTCATCAGAACCCTTAGGAAGGCCTACCTTGAAGACTGCTCTAGCAATGCCTAATTAAATGTAATTTGCTGTTGTGGTTGTAGCATCAGAAGGTTGTGGGTTCAATCCCCGCATCAGCATTTTGAGCTCGTAGTCCAGGCTGACACTCAGTTTAATGCTGGGGGAAGCGCAGCATTGTCAGAGGTGTTGCGGCCCTTCAGATAAGACATTAAGCTGAGCTCCTGTCTGCCTTTTCAGGTAGATGTTAAGGATGCCATGATGCTATTTGAAAAGAAGGGAATTTCTCTCTCGGTGTCCTGGCCGACAATCCCCCTTCTCTTTTTGAGCAGTGCCACCTGAACAGGCAGTCTCATCAGAAGGGCATCATTGGACTGGCAGCCCCAGCAGTGAGCTCAAAGTCCCAATTTGGGGCTTGAACTCACAACCTCTGACTTAGAAATGAGAGTGCTACCATCTGAGCCAGACTGACACACGTTGATGTGCAGTCAGTTTCCTTGACATATGGTGAAACGGGAAGACCGGAAATCCACAAAGTGAATGAGCGATTTATATGGGGTTTGCTTGTAAACTCAGGCTTGAGCAGAGAGCCCAGCAGCGTGAGGAGGGAACTGAGTGAGGTGGAACAGAGTGAGAATTCTGTTAAGGAATTTGGTGAGAGTGGGAATTGAGGTGGAAGAGTGAGAATTCTGTTAAGGAATTTAGTGAGTGGAATTAGGTGAAGAGGGTGAAAGAGGTGATTAATTATAAAATATATAAGTTATATTAAAATAATATAAAACATCTGGGAATATGGCAGGGCAGCTGAAACCGGTTGCATGCATAATGTGCCATGTGGGAACTCCAGGATGCTTAGTGTGCCCTGGACAGACACGTGTGTAGAAAGTTCCTCCTGAGTTTCTGAGCTTGAGGAGAGGCTGGTGTCACGACATAGCTTAAGGAGGTTGAAGAGTTCATGGATTGAACTTTTAGGAGGTGGTCACCCCACAGCCACAGAGGATTCAGAAGGAGAGTGAGTGGGTGACCACCCGGCATGGTAGGAAGAGGGGACGGGCAGTGCAGAAATCCCTCAAGAGTGTGGCACACTCAAACTGGTTCGCTGCACTGAATACTGGTCAGGGTGATGACACCTCTGGGGAAGGGATGCACAGAGGGACACAGGGAAGTGTGTCAATGCAACTGTCATTGGGGACACAATGGTGAAAGGAGTCGATGGGCGTTTCTGCAACCAAAGACATGACTCTGGTATGGTATGTTGCCTCCCTGGTGCCAGGGTTGAAGACATCACCAAACGGGTGAAAACGTTCTACAGGGGGAATGGGGACATCCAGAAGTCGCGGGCCATGTTGGGATCCATGACTTTGGGAAAAAAAGGGCTGAGATCCTACAGAAAGAGTGTCAGAAGCTAGGGAAAAGGCTAAAGAGTAGGACCTCAAACCTGGTGATCTCTGGATTACTCCCAGTGCCTCGTGTAAGTGAGTATCAAAACAGTAGGATCAAACACATGAATGCATGGCTGGAGAAATGGTGCAGAAAGGAGGGCTTCAGGTTCCTGGATCATTGGGACCAGTTCTGGGGCAGGTGGGACCTATACAAGGTGAATGGGTTATACCTGAATAGGGCTGGAACCAATGTCCTCGCATGGAGGTTAACCAGTGCTGTGGGGAAGGGTTTAACCTAAGTTTGAGGGGGCTGGGGGAAGGGAATCGGGATGTAGTATTAGAAAGGGACGATGTGCTAGAGGGTCCAAAAACAGAATCTATTGGTAGGAGTTAAGGAGCAGAAAAGGAGCTGTTACTATGTTAGTTGTATACTATAAACCACCAAATAGTGGAAGGAGATAGACGGGCAAATCTGCAAGCAGGTTTCAGAAAGACGCAAAACCAAGAGAGTAATGATAATGGGGGTTTTTAATTATACTAACATAGACTGGCAAAAAAACAGTGTGAGGGAGAAGGATTCCTTAAATGTGTGCAGGATAACTTTCTGGATCAGTATGTTTCCAGCCCAACGAGGAAGAAAGCAGTAGGAGAGCATCTCGTGATCACAACATCATTAGGTTTAGAATACTTATGGGAAGGGACAAGGAGCAATCAAAGGTGAAGATACTCAACTGGAAGAGGGCTAATTTCAGTGAGTTAAAAAGGGACCGAGCCAAGGTGGACTGGAAAGAAAGATTGGCAGGTAAAACAGCTAACGAGCAACGGGAAGCCTTCAAGGAGGAGATAGTTCAGGGACAGAACAAATACATTCCCACAAAGGGGAAAGGTAGGGCATCCCAACCTCCCTGGATGAATAAGGAAATTGGGATTAAAATAAAACAGAAAAAAGAGGCCTATGATAAATGTCATAAGAACACAAGAAATAGGAGCATGAGTAGGCCATTCGGTGGTGAATGGTGGTTTTTCTGACTGGAGGGGAGTGTACAGTGGTGTCCCCCAGAGATCAGCATTGGGATCACTGCTGTTTTTGATCTATATAAATGACCTGGACTTGGGTATAGGGAGTACAATTTCTAAGTTTGCAGATGATACTAAGCTGGAAAAGTAGTAAACAGTGAGGAAGATAGTAGCAGACTGCAAATGGTCATAGACAGACTGGTAAAATGGGCAGACACGTGGCAGATCAAGTTTAATGTGGAGAAATGCAATACACTTTGGGAGGAAGAATGAGGAGAGGAAATATAAGCTGATGGTACAATCTTATCCAAATCAACAAAGCTCTTTTACATACACACATACAAAAAATACGCACATACAATTAAAGGTGTGTGTGTGTGCAAACTAAATACCCGCATTTTTATGCTAAATACACACATGTACGTACTAAATACACACACAGACACATATGCACCAAATACATACACACATATGCACTAATTAACACAAACATACGTACTAAATACACACATGTAAATACAAACACACGTATGCACTAAGTAGACACACACACATGTGCACACTGAATCCGCACACATGCAAACGTACATCAAATACCCACACACCCGTATGTGCTGAAGACGCAAGACAGATATGCAGTCAGGCACATACCGAACGTACACACAACACGCGCACACACGCACACACTGCAGAAGTCCTCTGAGCTCTGTATTGTCACTGTGCGCACTGTGCAGTGCCATCCACTGGTAGCAAAATGTCTTGCCGTTCCAGAAATCACAGATCGCTTGGTCTCATTCACTGCCGTGCTGTAACCCATATATTTTAAAGCCTCCGCAGGGGTCACAGTGCCTCCAGCCCGGGTAGCACAAAAGCAGACAGAGGTGTGATCCTGCGCCAGGCTAGGCTAGGCCGGGCTACTGGATCTCAGTGGGAGGCAGTGGTGTTATTTAGCCTGAGGGAGAGGAAATCAGCCACGGTACTGAGACCCCAGACTTCGAAGGCCAGGACAGGGTGAGGCGGGGGTTCCTGCCAACGCTCATGGGCTCTTCCCTCCTCATGGCCCAGAGCTGCCCCCACACAGTGTCTGCACCAAAGGTCCTCAGTTTGCCCTCTTGTCAAATCACAATAATGTGGAGTCCTGTAGCTCACCTCACAAACAAGAGGACCTGGGTTCAATTCCCAAGCAGGGCAAATCCTTAGGCAGGTTTGCTTACTCCACACGCCTCTGTTTAACTAACAGTAAGTAGGAACCCGGTTGTTAGTCGATTGGCAGATCGCTTTCTGGGGGTAAGAATCCCTTAAATAAAAATAAAATACTAATATAAATTTGGTCACTCAATCCACGACTCTGTGCGCAATTGGCTGCCGCGTTCGCCCACAAATATACAGTCAATTCACTTTACAGTGTTTTCTGTGAAGCGCTTTGGGACGTCCTCCCGACGTGAAAAGCGCTATATCAAATGCAAGGATTGTTATTATTATTATTCTGTGAAGCGCTTTCAGACGTCTCGAAGACATGATAAGGCGCTACATGAAATGCAAAGGATTATTATTATTATTAAGGACAGGTGACCGCTCCTTCCACCTTGCTCTCTCAGTTCCGCCCATCCTTGTACTCAACGTGCCATCTTATGGTTCGTAAACTCCCAAAGTGCAGGGCTCCTGTGCCAATGGGTTCCATATGGCCCCAATGGTTTTATTGGCTTTAAATCCTGTTCTGCGGTCGGAGCCTTGTTAAGAGCTGGAATCCCACCTGCTTGCTTCCTGCTCTACGTCTCCTTAATTGTCTGCCAGCAACCGGACGGGACAGGATTTCCTGCCTGAGTACTTGGTTCAAGGCTCTCGTTTTGTCTCTCGCTTTCTCTCGCTCCCTCGCTTTCACTCTCTCGCTCCCTCGCTTTCACTCTCTCGCTCCCTCGCTTTCACTCTCTCGCTCCCTCGCTTTCACTCTCTCGCTCCCTCGCTTTCACTCTCTCGCTCCCTCGCTTTCACTCTCTCGCTCCCTCGCTTTCACTCTCTCGCTCCCTCGCTTTCACTCTCTCGCTCCCTCGCTTTCACTCTCTCGCTCCCTCGCTTTCACTCTCTCGCTCCCGCGCTTTCACTCTCTCGCTCCCTCGCTTTCACTCTCTCGCTTTCGCTCTCTCGCTTTCGCTCTCTCGCTTTCGCTCTCTCGCTTTCACTCTCTCGTTCTCTCACTCTCTCGCTTTCACGCTCTCGCTCCCTTGCTTTCACTCTCGCTTTCACTCTCTCTCACTTTCACTCTCTCTTGCGTTCACTCTCTCTCACTTTCACTCTCTCTTGCGTTCACTCTCTCTCACTTTCACTCTCTCTCGCTTTCAGTCTCTCTCGCTTTCACTCTCTCGCTTTCACTCTCTCTCACTTTCACACTCTCTCCCTCTCGCTTTCATTCTCTCGCTCCCTTGCTTTCACTGTCCTGGTCGCTTTCTCTCTCTTGCTCCCTCTCGCCTTCCCCCTCTCGCTCGCACTCTCCCTTTCACACTCTCTCGCTTCTCAGTCTGTCTCACTCGTCTCTTTCTTTTCGTACTTTTTCTCGCTAACTTTCTGATTTTCCCTCTTGGTCTCTCGGGTTCTTTCTCTGACTCTTCTTCACTCTGGCTCTCACTTTCTTTCTCGTTCTCTTTTTCTCTCTTACGCTCTCACTCTCTTGGATCACTTCACTGTGTTAAACCCTGGTTTCGCTGTATGTTTGTTAAGCAGCATCACGGTGTCCTCTCAGTGAGAACATTGAGTGTTTAGGCCGACACAGTCTCATACAGTACAAGCGGACCCTGCATTGGCACAGACCCTGTCCTTCTGACAAGACAATAAGCCGTCCAGCCATCCATCCCTGTTCCTGTTCAGGTCACAGTCCCGTGGTTTTATTTGAAAGCAGCAGGGAGTTTCTGGCAGTGGTGCTGGGATAAGATAAATTGGTCGTTCACTTTGCAGCTGTTTTTGTGACTTTTCTGTGCGCAAATTGGCTTCCCCGTTCACCTAAAATGACAGTCACTGCACCTTACAGAAACCCTGTGAAACGTTAGGAAATATCTGATAATAAATTGAATGCAATATTATTATTGTACGTTCTACACGTATAAAGTGGAGTTCCGTTAGCTTAGTGGTTCGTGCGCTTGTCTCGCAAGCGAGAGGACCCGGGTTTGATTCCCAAGCGGGGTAGAATCTTAGGCAAGTTTTCCTTACTCCACACACTCGCCCCCTGCGAACCTAGCAGTGAGTAGGAACCCAGTTATTAGTTGATTGGTGGATAGCTTTCCAGGGGGTTAATAAACCCTCAAAAAAAATCGCTCAATCCGCGACTGTTTGTGGGAGACTAGTGCGCATTTGGCTGCCGCGTTTCTCCCACACAGTCACTCCGCTTTACATTACATTCTGTGAAGCGCTTTGAGGCGTCTCAACGATTCGATAAGGTGTTGTATCAAATGCGAGGGATTCCAATTGGATCCGCATTGAGCTCTTTCTTTTCCTTTCTAACACCCGCTAAATCCATCGGACGCACTTAAATGTTTACAACGGAGGTTTTTTATCACCTTTTCCTTTTGTGAAGTTGTTTTTCTTGGGTTTTTTTGTGCAAGGCATGTTTTACTTTTTATTGGGTGACGAAGGCACAAACACAGAGATGGTTCATGTCTGTAGGGCCTTTGATTGGGAACAGCAGTGATTTACAAGCCAGCCTGTTCAGCAAGAACATCCTAAAGAGACTCGTGTGTGTGTGTGTGTGTGTATCGCTCTCTCTCTCTCTCTCTCTCTCTCTGTCTCTCACATGCTCCCATTCTCTCTTTACCCTCTCTCCCACTTTGCCTCTCTGGCGTGCGCTTTCTCTCTCTCACTCACACTCTCGTTCTTGCTCTCTCTGGCGCGCACTCTTTCTCTCTCTCTCTCTCTCTCTGGCCTGCTTTCTCTCGCACTCTCTCTCTCTGGCATCCACTCACTTTCTTTGTTTCTCTTCTCTCTCTCGTGCTGCTGTCTCTGTCCGGTGCTGTTTCTCTCTCTCTCTCTCTCTCTGACGCACACACTCTCATTCTCTTTCTGGCGCACACTCTCTTGCTCTCTGGCTCACTTTCTCTCTCTTGCGCTCTCTCTGGCGGTGCTCTTCTTTCTTTGTCTCTCTCTCTCTCTGGCGTGCGCCATCTTTCTTTCTCTCCCCCGGGTGCTCTCTATCTCACTGGCCTGCCTCTCACTCATGCTGTGATCTCCTGCAGTCTCGCTCTCTCTTCTCTGCCAATTCCTGCTGCTTCCCCCCCTCCTCCCCCACCCACCATGAACATCCACCATGTTGCCTGTTTCGTCCGCAACTCTCTCTTTAAATCTTCCTCTTTGCTTTCAACTTGTAGTCAAGACTGACTCCTCTCCCAGGACTATATGTGCGGTCAATCAGATGAGATGTTAACCCGAGATCCTGTCCGTGCCTTGCCAGGTGGACATTAAAGACTCCGCGGACTATTCAAAAAGTCAATGGAGTTTCTCTCTCCCTGTGTCCTGGCCAACAATCCTCCAAATAAAATTGGTCACTCACTTCATGGGTCTGTGGGACATTGCTCACCACACTCTACAGTCCACCTTATGAATATCAAATGCAAGATTATTATTACTTTTGTGTGTCAGCCTGGCTCGGTGATAGCACTCTTGCCTCTGAGTCGGAAGATCGTGGATTCAAGCCCCACATCGGGACTCGCACAGTCTAAGGGGGTAATCCAGTGCAGTGCTGGGGGTTTGTTGCATTGTCGGATGTGCCATCCTTCAGATGAGAGAAGGGAGTTTCTCCCGGTGTCCTGGCTCAGCAATTCCCCTAAATAAAATTGGTCGCTTCAATCCGCGACTGTTTGTGGGACACCGCTGTGTACAGACGACTTCCGCGTTTCGCTCACAAAATACACCGTCGATCCACTCTCCGGTGTATCCCGTAAAGAGCTTTGAGACGTCTCAAACAAGATAAGGCACTATATCAAATGCAAGGATTATTATTATTATTATCAAATCCATGTAAAACTTTTATCTCTTTGCACCTTTGGTCATCTCTCTCTTTCTCCCACCTCCCGCCCCCGCAAAATCTCCCACTCCATCTCCGTACTTACTTTGAGACAGTCTCCTTCGCTGTGAGAGAGCTGTTGGCGTTGAGGTTCCAGTGATGAACAGATGAATCGATGAAATGTCTTTGCTGAGAGATGCTTCTCTCTGTGTGCAGGTGTTCTCGCTACCTGGTTCGTCGTATAACCTGACCCCGTCACACCTGTTCGGAGGACCGCTCACACCCGGCCCATCCATCAGCTCGCTCATCAACGCCTCGGAAAACAGTCAAGCAGGTAAATACTGCTTTTTGGTCCCTATATATAATGCCCCTCACACAGGGTAGTGTGTCCAGAGCACTTGAGAGTGGCGGAGAAAGGTGCTGAGCCGGGGGGAGGCACAGTCGAGTGGAGGTTGTGGGTTGGGGAGTAATCAGGTCGGAGAGGTTGGGAGGTGTCAGGGCATGATCATTTTGCGACAGGGAGCTCATGGAGCCTGGCTAGAACTGGTGTGACCGGGGTTTAGTACGGGCGAGTGTGGAAGGTGGCGGAGTTTGGATCAGTTTGGGATCAGGGAGCTCAGTTAAGCGCTTCATCCGATGCGGGGATTCAAACCCACAACTTTCCATCCCAGAGATAAGAACGCTGCTGATTGAGGAGGAGAAACAGAAAAGGGGTGGTGGTGGGGGGAGAGAGGCGGGAGGAGAATAGGACGAAGCAGTTCTCAAGTCCCTGACTCGCAACCACAAGCTGTGTGATTGGAGCCAGAGGGAGGATAAATCTTTGATTTCTTGTTGTCTCGTTTATTTCAGAACCGGATATGGACGACAATGACTGCAGCTTTGTGTGCCGCGGCAGCTCTTCCAGAGAGAGTCTTTCCCCCAGGTCAACTTTACACCGTCTCCTTGCGCTGGTTTCCTCTTTCGCTATAGTAACTGCACAGTCTCACCCCTCTCGAGATACCAATCACTTTTTTTGGTTTGTCTTTGGTCAGCCGGGTGTCTGACACACAGGGAAACCCATCGCCATTGCTTAAGAGAATCCAAACCAGACTGAGAATTCCACGCATCCCACCTCCACATGGGAATTCCAGAGATAGATCGTTGGAATGGACAGTCTTATCTCCGGGTGGATTTGGGGGGTGAGGGGGGCAGTGGGGGAAAGTGAACTATGGGATGGGGGTTGGAAGGCGGTGCCTTTGGGGAGGGTGGAGGCAGCACTTTTGTTTGCGGCGAAGAAATATGTCTTTGTGTGTCCATCCACTGTTCCTCATTCCCAATGATTTTACCCCTCTTCATTCCCTCCCTTTTCCCACTCTTTCAGCTCCTCACGCCCCAGCCTCCAGCCCGGGTATGTCACTTGCTTCGGAGTCCTGTGCCAGTGTTGCCCTCGCTAGTCACTAAGTTTCAAGAAGTTCCTGTGGTGATGCTGGTGTTTGTTTTTTACTCACTACCCTCACAGGTCTCCGATAGGTGGCTTGCCCATCCTCTATGACCAGACTGTGTCCAGTCAACTGGAGAATGTCCCACAGTCAACGTCTAACATCGAGCAACTCTTAGAGAAGCACTGGAATGGAGATGGGACCATTGATAGTGAGTGGACATCAGTCAGACTCAAATATCCGTCTTTTTGCTCTGTTCCGGAGGTTGGGGGTTGTTCTGTTCTTCATTTCAAGATCCTCACACTCTCGTACAAATCACTTCACGTCCTGGTACCTCCGCATCTCTGATCTGCTCACACCCCCACTCCTCTACCCCCTCCTTCACTCAGCTGGCTCCGGCTTCCTGCACGTCCCTCGTCCCCTCCGCTCCAACGTCGGCTGCCGGGCCTTCAGCCACTCCGCCCCAAATCTCTGGAATTCTGTGCCTCGATGCCTCCGCCTCGCCCGCTCCTTGTCCATCCTCAGATCATAGCTGATCTTCGACCTTCCTCTTCGACCATTTCTTTGGTCTCCTCTCTCTCCCTGCCTCAGCATTAAGCTCTGTCACTGTTAAGCGCTGTGAGGGAGGGAGGGAGTTGTTACCGACTCTGTCTTTGTGGATTCAAATATTGGTTTGTCTTTGCTCCCCCGCCCCGGCCCCAGTTGTGGAGATGCTGAGGTCACTGCACATGCTGCAGCTGGAGAACAGGCGCCTACAGGAGCAGATCATGAGCCTCTCGGCCAAGAAAGAGCGGCTGCAGCTCCTCAACGTGCAACTGTCGGTGCCCTTTGTCAGCGTGTCGGCCAGCCCTGCCTCCCAGCTCCACATGATTCCCTCTCACAACGGTGAGTCCGTGCCGAGTCCGTGCTCGCTCTCCTCTCCCTGTCTGACCCTCTCAGGTAAAATCGGTCGTCACTTTGTGGCCGTGGGACGTTGCTCTGCGCAAATCGGCTCCAGCTTCGCCTGCACAGCACACAGCCACTACACTTCACAATAAAATGCTGTGAAGTCCCCACTAGATTAGTGGCTAATGGTTCCGCCTCGCGAGCCAGAGGACCGGGAGGGGGGAGACGAAACATTAGGCAAGTTTCCTTACTCCACACGCACGCGCCTCTGTTTACCCAGCAGTAAGTAGGTTGTCGGTCGATTGGTGGATCGCTTTCCGGGGGTAATAATCCCACCGGAAAAAAAACTCGGGTCACGAAATCCACGAGTGGTTGTGGGACGCTGCCTTGTGCGCATTTGACTGCCGCGTTTCGGCCACAAAAATACGCAGTCAATTCACTTTACAATATATTCTGTGAAGCGCTTTCAGCCGTCTCAATAATGGGATAAGGCGCTGTATCAAATACCGGGATTATTATTATTATTGTTATTGATATGGAGCAAATTTCACTTTCTCCTTTTCCATCCCAGTTTGCAGCTCGGATTTGCTGAACAGCATTAAAAGCCCCCCCTCCAAGACCAGCTACATCACTGAGAATTCCCTCTCGGCATCCTCGGAGGTACTTGACACAGCGACCGACCGGCGCAACCCGACGTGCGTGCCCCGAAATTCCACCAAGTCTCGGGCCACGTGGCCTGAAAATTTAAGGTGGCACGGGAATTACGGATATGATTCAACGCTGCCTTCATTTGGAAGTTGGTTTTCCCTCATCCTGGAAAACGAACGATAGGACTTCACAATTCAAATCTCGGTTGAAAAATGTTCCACAGTTCTCCCCGCCTTAAATCTCGAGAACAAATGGTCTCGGAGTCTAAGACTGAGTGGAATTTGCGGCCTAATTTGTGGTTTGAACTTGGCTGCATAGTGGAGGAGCGTAGACCTGGGGGAGCGCGGCATAATCTGAGGCGCAGCACTTTGGCTGAGATACTTTCATGCCGGGAGGACGTCCCAAGGCGCTGGGTGTTAACCCGAGCTTCCTGTCTGTGTGTTCAGGGGTTTGGAGACGTCTCGACGACGGGATAAGACAATATATCAAATGCAAGGATTATTATTACAATAAATCCTGTGAAGTGCTTTGAGACATCTTCCCGACTCGATAAGGCTCTGTATGTGTAAAGTGTCTGGTTATAAACCGGCTGTTAATCCCTCTCTCTCTCTCTCTCCTCTCCCACTGCCAGGATCTGCGCTCAGGCTGCCACAGCAGAAGCAGTTCGGCCTCGTCGTTGCAGAGCACCCCTCCTCCCCCACAGACCCCAGCCTCGCTTCCGATCCTCGGGCCCATGCCTGGGGGCCAGCCGCAGGTCAATGGTCTGACCAGGACCAGCATGGCCGCCGCCGCCGGAGGAGGAGGACCTCCCATGACCTCCGCGTTTGCCGCGATGCCCGGGGTTGGTGGAGTGATGGCGAGCCAACCGGGAAACCAATTGGCGATCAACGGTATTGTCGGCTCTCCCAACGGTGTCATCCAGCCGTCGGCATCGACGGCACAGACTCATCCCTCCCTCTCACATGCGTGCACATCCCATACCGTTCCACTGTCAACAAGCCTCTGTAACAGGTCAGATTGTGTGATATTCACTGAGTGAGAGCGGGCGCCATCCACCAGTCTCTGCGTGCGGGTCTGTAGGTAATTGAGGGGCCCTATCTTACCCATAATTAGATCAATCTCTTGCATCGAGGCTCCAACTGCCGGCTATGCAGGTCCCAGACTCGGTGCTGTCTCTCTTTCTCTCTCTCTATCTTTCTCTCTCTCTCTCTCTTTCTCTCTCTCTTTCTTTCTCTCTCTCTTTCTCTCCCTCTCTCTTTCTCTCTCTGCTCCATCCGAGCTCAGCCAACGGCGTCAATGCCCTCGGGCTAGGGAGGTGGGGGAGGGGACACGGGGGAAAGGAAAGACCAGCAATCCCCCAATTGCTCTGTGTTGTGCCCCCCCCCCCCCCAGCCCGTTCCCCCCCGCCACACCGTCCCCGTCCCTATCCCCAGCTGCCCATCAGGTTAAGTGAGACCAGGAGTGGGCTTGGCTGCGATTGTCCACACACACACCTCACGTGGCTGAATCTGGGCTCACAGGGAATGAGGGTGCTAGAAGAAGACACCCGGGCTGGGCTTGTGTACCCCAACAGCGAGGGGGTGGGGCTGAATCCGAGTGGGGGAGAGGGAGGGAAGGGGTTTGTAGCCAGCCACCCTGAATCTGGACAGTGGAAAGCAGAGACACGTAACACATTGAATTAATGTTGGGAGTAAGGCTTGACAGGTCATCGGTTTCAGTTTAGCAAGTGCATGGCCTCGCTCCCAGACATCTTATCTGTCCCTCAGTGTGCCTCCATCGCCCTCCTCTTACCCCTTCTCATGGCTCTTCACCTCCATGTATCTGTGTCTCTCCTCCAGGTTGAGCCTTGCTCTGCGCACATTCCCCACACTGCTCTGCTTATCTCTCTCTCTATCTCTCTTCCCTGCCTCATAAACTCTGCCCGACTCAACCTGGGGACCATTCTGTCACAATTACAACACGAGCTACATCTATACAGTAACTTTCACCTCAAAAGCGCTCGACATGGCTGACTGGGAAACCCGAGAGCAGATCGAATGGAACTGTGCAAAAAAAAACTCAATGGCCCCTTCTGCTGCTGTAAATTTCTTAAGCTTTGGCCTTTGTTTGGAAGTCGGTCCTTTTTGTGAAAAAATGACTACAAAGTCACGCTGGCTTTGGAAATTTTGCATGTGATTCTGGGCAATCTGAATCTGAACCCCAAATTGTCTCGCGAGCTGAGACTGGGAGATGTTTGAGGCATAACCTATGCCCAATTGCAAAGAGCGAACAAAGGCTTTAACAACAACCAACAAAATTACATTTGTAAAGCGCCTTTCACATCGGGAGGACGTCACAAGGTGCTGAACAGTTGGGGATCAGGACCCAAGCGTGGGTGGGGGGGGGGGCAGGGATGGGATGAGGGAGGCCAGAGGGGGTAGGAGGGCGGCTGAAGGCACGGTCGAAAAGGAGCGTCTTGAGTCAGGCCTTGAAGGAGTAAGGCGAAGGGGTTGTGGGATGGAGTTCCAAAGGGTGAGGGCAGAGAGACTGAAAGCCTGGACGGTGATGGTAGGGCGGGTCGGGCAGGAGACATGGAGCAGGCCGGAACCTGATGAACGGAGGGAGCGAACAGGTTGATAGGGGGGTTAGCAGGTCAGATAGGTAGGAAGGGGGCAAGGCCGTGGAGGGCCTTGAAAGTGAGGACAAGAAAATTCCGTTACCCCTTAACAGAATTTTAGCCATTCCGTTAAGGGGTAATGGAATGGCAAAATGCTTCCTTTCTCAAGAGCGAACATCAGGATTAAAAGCTCCTGGGTGTTGACTGAGGGTCAGTGAATGGACCTGGTGCAGAATAAGACCAGCGCCTGCTGTGTTGGTCATTCGGCCGATCTCAGTTGTGGCACAACCACATTATCAGCAAATTGGAAATGCGCCGTAAAATCTTCCTTATTTTGTTGTAGCTGCGCCTGCACTGCAGCACCCTGCCACCAGAGTGCGGCAGTGAGCTTTGTAAACGGTGTGGGTGGGGGGCGGGTGGGGGGGGGTGGGGGGTTTCTCTCCAATGGTGGGAAGCTTTGCAGAAACCGTCCCAGGTTTACAGCACACAAAGGAAGCCATTCGGCCCCTCGTGCCAGCGCTGGGGCCTGGGGAAAGAGCACTGCAGCAGCTCAGTTTAATCTCACAACGTTCAGTGTGGCCCCTCGCAACAATGCAGCTTTCACTTTCCCGCATAATCTTCCGACTTTCTCTCTGCTATCAGGACGCTCACTGGGAAAACTGACCTGTGCGCAGTGACCACTCGAGCCAGGTACCAGACCCCAAGGCCTGCGCTGGGTCGACATTGGGTACATGTGGGATATAGTGCTCACAACTGAGGAGGTGCAGGGTATGACCCAGAGGGTAGTTAACGACTAGAACAAGTTAGCAAGAGGTTGAGGCCAGGACACTGGACTCATTTAAGAAACAGTGATCTCTGATGGGAGGATATGCAGCTGAGTAGCTTGGAGCGATGAGATCACGTGGGCCGAATGGTCTTCTTCACCCGAACCAATCTTGTGAACTGAGTGAGAGAAGTTCAGAATAATGAGGGGAATTGACAAGCCGGGTTACGGGCAGCTTCTGCCTTTGTTGGAGGGATCTGAACCAGGAGACAGGCTTCAAGGATGAGCCGCGCTGGTTAGAGATGAGATCAGGAAAGATTTCATCAGTCAGATTGATTGTGGAGAATGTCGAACACATTGCCCCTGGGCCAGTGTGTTCGACATCAGAGATGCCGAATTGAATGGGATGTTTACAAAGGAGACAGATACATACTTGGGAAGTCAGGGGAATTAGTGGTGACGGAGAAAGGGAGTGCTTAAGAGATTGGACTCGACCTAAGAAGCTGACGGTGCAGGCTGCAGGGGCTGAATGACCTCCTCCTGCACCTGTTTTAATAACGACGTGCATTTGTATAGCGCCCTTCCCACAGGTTAGCATCTCGGAGCACTTAGATGGTTAATTATGGTGCAGGGTCCAACTGGATGCCCACGGGCCGATTTCATCCTCCCCACCCCCTCCCTCCCCACCACCACCCAACCAGGAAAGAAAAGTGTCGTCAGGGGAAGAGAAAGAGCAAAGAGATGGCTGTGGGGTTCAGTGTGGTCCATCCTCCAGCAGATCTGCATACATCTCCCAGCTCCTCTCTCTCTCTCTCTCTCTCCGTGAAATCACTGATCATCGCAGGTCACACTTGCTTACGTTCCATTCCTCTCGTACTCGGCTCCCCCAGTCTACCTTAACCGGGGAAAAAAATAACAAATTCCACTGCTGGGTGAGATTTTCTTTTGTACCAAGTTGGGAGGGCGGGGTTGGGGTATTTGATCTCTCAGTTAACTGTGACCTAAATTCCAGCTCCTGTGTTTTCTCCCCTCGCCCCCTCCCACCATAGCAACATGTCCGGACTGGGGCAGTTACCTGATCAGCAAAGACAGCTCCTCTATCAACACCAGCAACAGCAACAGCAGCAGTTACACCAGCTACTGACCTCTCAACAGCTGACTCCGGTAAAGACTGTGCGATAAAACACGGTTAAGTAGGCAAAAGTGCCAGGATCCCAAGAAATTATGAATAATAATGATAATGATAATAATGATAATAATCCTTGCATTTGACATAGCTTTTATCACGTCATTGGCACCTGTTAAAGCGCTTCACAGAATATATTGTCAAGTGGTTTCTTACCTCTATGCCTCCGGCCACTTATCCCTCTGCCACTGTCAAGCGCTCTGGGACGCTACCCTCCGTGAAGGCGAGTTGTTCTGGTCAGGATGTGGAATTCGTTGCCTCTACCGTTTCTTGAAGCGGAACCCACCAAACTGTTCACAAGTGATTCACAACGGGTTGGAGAGGGGCTGTCGAGAGAGTTGGGGGGAGTGGGTGGGAAGGTGGGATTGGACTGTGGGAAACCCTGGAGCACTGAGCTGTCATCCTTCAGATGAGACGTAATGTCTTCGGACTCACAAACCCGAGTGGGGCACTTCCCGGGGCGGCTCAGGTCCAGACATCTGGAGATTCTGTGGGTGTGAGTGTTTTGTTTATACACTGTGTGTATGAGTATGTTATTTGCACACTATGAGTGCGTGTTATTTACACACTGTGTATGTGTGTTATTTACACACTGTGTGTGAGTGTGTCATTTACACGCTGTCCTGTGTCTGTGTGCAGGACCAGCACGCTCTGGTCTATCAGATGGTACAACAACAGCGTCAGCGACAGTTCCAGCGGTTGCAGGTCTCCGCGGGGCCCCAGCTCCCCATCAGCAGCCTCCTGCCGGGCCCCTCGGCCCTGCCCGCACACCCAGCCCGCAACTCATTCCTCTCCCTTCACGCCAACAGCGGTGCACAGAAAGTACAGGTGAGAGGCTGAGTGCCAGACAGCAGAGGGTGTGTGTGTGTGTGGGGGGGGGGACTGCCATCTCGCTGGGGTGGATGGGGGGGAAACAACCGCCCAGTATCATTGCTCCCCATAGAGAGCCTGAGCCATGTAAACACACACATACACACCGTGTAAACACACACACCATGTAAACACACACACACCATGTAAACACACACACCATGTAAACACACACACACCATCTACACAGACACACACCATGTAAACACACACACACACACCATGTAAACACATACACACCATGTACACACCCACACACGCACACACTATGTACACACCCACACACACCATGTAAACACGTACACACACACACCATGTAAACACACACACACATACACACAGCATATAAACACACACATACAGCATGTAAACACATACACCGTGTAACCGCATACACACACACACCATGTAAATACACACACACATGCACGCAGCATGTAAACGCACACACGCGCGCAGCATTTAAATACACACACATAGAGCATATAAATATGTGTGTGGTTGGGGGAGGGTCAGAGGTCCATAGGCAGCTCAGGCGAGAGCGTGTGCGAGGGCGTGTGCTGCTGTTGTTGCCGACGCGTTGCTTGTAACCGTGTCGTGCTAACACCGACCGGGTCTGTTTTCCTTTTCTTCTCGGAAAGAGACTGAGTGAGAAAGGTGGCGCCGTGAACCAGGAGAAGAGCTGACAGAGCGAGACGCATCCCAATCGGTCGCTGGAGTAACAACCCGGATGACGCTCTCTCGCGACTTCCTTCCTGTGCGAGATGGGGGTGGGTGGGTGGGGGGGGGGGTGGTCGGGAGCGGGGGGAGGGGGGTCCGGTCTCAGCGGGTCACGGAGGCCAGCTTTTTTTGTTTTTCTCTTCTTATCATTTCAAAGAGACAAGACGGCGCGGAGGAAAGATTTCCAGTGGCTTCTCCTCATCCCCGGAGTTTACTTCATCCCGGATCCACAGTCAGCAAGTGTTGGGATGGGACGGAATTCAGAAGCAGTCCTTCCACCCGCTCCCGGGACACAGACAACAGCATTGAGCTTGATGCCTGACCCCCCACACCCTCAACCCTAACGACAGCAAGTTTCGAGCAGGGTGTTGGGAAAGGAAGGAGGAAAGGGGGATAGTCCTCCGCTCCGCTCGGTCCCCCCTTCCCACAACCTCCTCCCCCTCCGACCCTCACCAGATACAGTCATCGAGCACACGCTGTGCTCACTTTTGGCCAACGGGTGTTCGGAAGTTCTGGGCGGCGACTCGGGTCTGGTTGGTGTTGGCAGGCGGTTGTCGAGGCTGAAGTCCCTGCTGGCACCGACGCGCGGCCCTGGCGCGGAGGTGACTGACTGGCAAGGCAGTGCGAACGGCCGCCCGGAGAAGGGGGCGAGTGAGAGGTTCGGCAACGGAGAGACTTGGTCATCCGTCCCCCTCGTCCGGTTGCCTACGTCGTCCACTCTCTGCTGCAGCCCCAGGCACAGAGCGGAGGGAATGGGACATTGGCCGAAGATCCTGGATTCCAGATACCCCCACCAACTCTACCCCCTCCACGCTGGGTATCCCACACCCTGGCCACCTCTCTGATTCTCTTCTCGTTCCACATAGACACTCACACACTCACACCCATTGACCCATTGCTCGTCAGAGAAATGCTATTCCCACCCTGGCTAGAAATCAGCTGGACACCCATTCGCTGCAGTGATTTTAATTTGCTTCCGAGTCTTTGCGCGCGTGTGTGAGCACGCGAGAGGGTGTGTGTGCACAAGAGAGGGTGTGTGTGCGCACGAGAGGGCGTGCGCGAGAGGGGGTGTGTGCGTGCGCGAGAGGGTGTGTGTGCGCGCGAGAGGGTGTGTGTGCGCGAGAGAGGGTGTGTGTGCACACGAGAGGGCGTGCGCGAGAGGGTGTGTGTGCGTGCGCGAGAGGGTGTGTGTGCGCGCGAGAGGGTGTGTGTGCGCGCGAGAGGGTGTGTGTGCGCGCACGAGAGGGTGTGTGCGCGCGCAAGCGGGTGTGTGTGCGTGAGAGGGTGTGTGTGCACGCGAGAGGGTGTGCCCAAGAGGGTGTGTGCGCGCGCAAGAGGGTGTGCCCAAGAGGGTGTGTGTGCGTGCGCGAAAGGGTGTGTGTGCGCGCGCGAGAGGGTGTGTGTGAGTGAGAGGGTGTGTGCGCGCGCAAGAGGGTGTGCCCAAGAGTGTGTGTGCGCGCGCAAGAGGGTGTGCCCGCGCAAGAGGGTGTGCCCAAGAGGGTGTGTGTGTGCACGCCCGAGCAAGAGGGTGTGCGCAAGAAGGTGTGTGAGTGTGCGCAAGAGCGCGTGTGCGCGCAAGAGCACGTGTACGCAAGCGGGTATGCGTGCGCGCAAATGTGTGTGCATGTGCACCAGTGTGTGTGTACACGCAAGAGCTTGTGCGCGTAGTAGTGGGCATGTGCGCGCGCGTGCAAGAGGTGTGCGAGTGTGTGTGTGTGTGTGGTGCGTGAGAGCGAGCGAGCATGTTGAGTGCGCACGTGTGAGCATTTATCTGAAATTCCAGTTGGAGTTCTGTGTAGTAACTGACTCTCTCACTGGTTAATCCCGTTAGGGGGCAGGGACCGTGTCTGACCTTCGCTTTGAATGTAGCCAAATGACACGTGCCTCGGGGCGGGGGAGAACCCGCAGCGCAGTCCAGACCGGCTCCATTTACGCAGAGTTTCAGAGCGGACAGAATTTTGTAAACTCTTAAAAATGCTGCTTTTTAATCTTCGAGCCCGTTCTTCTGTAAATTGCTATTGCGAGAAACAACGGACCCCAAACTGGAGTCGAGACAGAATTGAGCAATTTGCCAAATTCTGGACGCTCTGAAATGCTCTGAAATGCTCAGAGGAGCGAGGAAATCCAGAGCCCGAGAGGAGTTTCTCTCCCAAGTAATTTTTTTTTAAAAACAATCGAAAAGGTTATATTATTTTTCCGATCTGATGACTTTTTCACCCCGTGTGTGGTGACTGGAAACAACTGTGCACTTTACGGCAGCAACCGATGATGTGGTTGCTTTTCGAAAAATTGGAGGCTTCTCCTAGAAAGACTGTTCCTAGTGGGATTTTTTTGGGGGGAGGGGGGGGGGGCGGGGGGAAGGGAGTGAGTGGGGGAGAGTAGCTCCCATTCAGCCGGTCTGTTGGTCCATATTCCTGTTTTTTTCCCCCTTCACTGCCAGAGCTCCGTGACCCGGGATTGTGAACTCGCGGCGTAGCTTTACTCTGTCTGAAACCCATGTTGCCTCTGACCTGGGAGTGTGGAAGCACAGTGTAGACGGAGCTTTACTGTGACTCTTAACGCTGACCTGGGCGTGTGGACGGACAGGATAGAGGGAGCTTTACTCTGTCTCTGAGCCACAAACCACGTCAGTAAACTCTCTGCTCAGTGTTGACATCTACATATCATCCTGAAGAGTAAAAGCGATTGCAACCCACCTCCCCAACAAATCCTATATTTTTGTAAGCTAAATAAATGTATGCCCTCCCTAAATTAAGCAATAACAATATTCAGGCACACACTGCCTTGGCAGGAGGATAAGTTGCATTTTACTATAAGCAAATCTTCCCAACCTCCCCGCCCCAACCTTCCCTGCTCCCACCTTCAGGCTTATCCACTCTAACTGAGACGTCAGATTTGCTTCTTTTTAAACACCTTTCCTGATCTTCGGGTTGAATTTGTGTTTAGTCGGTCACTATAACTGGGAGTGTTGCCCTATAGGAATCGGTGTATGTAGGGGTGAGTGTGACTGCTTCTTGACGTGGGTCGTGCGGGTGTATTGTAGAGGAGAGAGTAATGGGTACACACACACACTGCATTTCCCACAATCTTTGATGTGCCAGTGTGTCTTGTGTCAGGGAAAGTTCAGATCACATTTCCATACTCACACACGAACACACACACACACCGAGATATAAATGTGCATACATGTACGTACTCACACGCAAACACAGACGCACACACAGAAAAGTATGCACATGTGCACAGATATGTTCACACATTCACATGTACCCAGACACTTGGACGTGCCCACACAGAAATTACGAACAGATTTTCTGCACAGAAAGAGGCCGATCGGCCCACCGAGTCTGTCCCGCCACTTGCTGTTTCTCCCGAATTTCTGGAAGGGCCACGATAGGAGCAGAAACAATCGTCGTGTTGGAGCAAAATCAAATTTGACGTACGGTGACGTTTAATCCTATGTTATTTTCCTAATGTGTAAAATGAGTACTTTGGAGGGGGAGGGGGGAAAAATGCATCTTTTTCAAAACCAGAGCTGCTGCAAACACTGGGATAGGACAGACCAACCAGCACTCTCCCAGACCGTGCTCTGAGATCAGTTCTGTCTCGGTTTCGGTTCCCGACTCACTCCACCGGTCCCGCTCTCTTTGGGTTACGAGCGTTGCAAAAGCCAGAGCAGACGTGGAGTTCACTTTAAATCGAGACGGACCGAAGCCTCTTCCTTCTACGACGATCTGAGATCTGGAGATCACAAACAGTGTCTGTACTTGTGTCCGTCCCAGTTCCCACCCCCTCTTCCCCCCCCCCCCCCCCCCCCACCTAATTTTCTCCCCAGATGCAGCGGAATCCAGGTGCATCCAGATTTCAGAAGCACAGAGACGTACAGATGATTGAGGCAAGGACACTGACTGACACTGTGCCTCTTTCCCTTCTGGGGGGGGAAAAAAAAGCTGTCAGGTGAGCGTTGAGCTCTGATTATGCCGCGTGTCCCAGTATATGAAGCAGTTCTGATTGTAATATTTAGATGGCTTTGAAGAGTAGATCACCAACGTGTACAATGGTGAGGTCCTCTCTGTTGCTATGGTTGTATTTTTTTGCTATTGCACTTTTACGCGGAGCCTCGGTCGGTCGGTCTCTTGCCCGGCCACTCTGTTCCGCACTGGTAGCTATTTTGTGAATGAAAAGTAGAGTTTATAGCGATTTGTCACATCACTGGCGTTTAAACGTAAACCAGACACTTTGGCACATGATATAAAAAGCAGGAGGCAGCTTAGTAATAAGTAATATAAGTTTCGCAAGTAAACTTTGGTTTTGTGGGGATAAAAAGGTCAGCTTTTATCGAAAAAAAATAATAAAATCTTGTTCGATCGGCAATGTCAGTGATTTGGAATCGTCAGACATTGCTGAGTTAATTATACAGAAATGCTTTTTTCCTGTTTTATTCTCTCACTCTCTCAGCCCTTTGCTTTGTATAGCTGGATGTCATATTAACTTGGTTGTAAGTTGTACAGCTCTTTGTGTCAATTGTACATAGACGTTGTTCTGAATATTATTTGTCAAAAAAAGCAAAAGGGGGACAAAGAAAACCCACAAAAAATTCTTAAATATTTCCCGTTTGTAATATTTTGATGGAAAACCTTTTTTTTTGCCTTAGAGATTTATCTGTTGTTTTTTTTAATTTATTGTCTTGTTTCTTTTTTAAATGTAACTTTGCAAGTTAACATGTTAACAGGAACTGTTTAAAAAGGTTGCTGGTTTGGCGAAATGCCAACCCTCCCAACACCCCACCCCCCTCCCCTCCCCACCCCCCACCCCCCCAACCCCACCCCCACCTTCTCCCGCTATGTCTGAGCAAATGTAAAAAGAGATATTTTGCTATGAAGGATTAAGTTTTTACTAAAAATCAAATTTGTCAAAAAAAAAGCTCTTCCCTTGGTCTCTGCCTCACTACTGAATTTAACTCATGTCCACTTTGCGTGTGTGCCATTGCATCTGTGTGCGTGTGTGTGTGGTATGTGTGCACGCCTGTGTGAGTG